CATCTTGAAAAGCTTGAATAATATCTGCTTACTCTGTATTGAGAAATCAGTAAATCAGAGTACAGTTCAAATTTATATAACATGATTTACTGTATATAAAATAAAGGTTCATTTAAAATGTATGTATTATTTTACTCATATATCATTGGGGTCCCCATCATCCCAAACATGAAAATTATCGGGTTCAACAGAATACACAATACCCACTAAACAATAACCACTATTTTATCTCCTTCTCTAAACAATGGCAAACAAGACTGTCTTTTTAGGCCACAGCAGAGTGACTGTAATATGCTGACCGCAGCATTCATCATACATTGATGTCAGTGCAAACTACCGACTTGCAAAACTGGGCTGCCTAACACACACACACCTAATGTCCCTTGGGAGAATGCTATGGGCTCACTGCAGTGCTCCTCTTTCTCGCTCCCTCCCTCCATCCTTACTGCACTGCTGTAATGGAATATCGATCTGCTGCTCTTGCCGCAGTGTTTAAAAGGAGAGGTAGATCCCACTCAAGGTCATCACTATGGCAACTTAAAAATGAGATGGACTGTCACTGGCCTGATGTCATAAAAGCAGGTCACAAGTCAAATTTGTGTGATGTGAAAAGACAATGATAAAAAAAATATGAAAATAGGCAACAAGTCTAGTTATTGTTCTATGAGCAGTTGTTAAATAAACATAAGACTTCAAATACTGTACAGGCTGAGCATTTTATTGCACTTCCCAATCACTGATAAAACAGAAGCAAGTTGTAAAATAAAAGACGATAAACAAACATTTCCATAATATGAGAGAACATATAAAAACAAAAAAAACTTCCACTGGGAATATTGGCATCAGAAACTGATTACACTGAATAGCAATAATACATTTTTTTCTTTGCTCACGCATTCTGTTATTAAATCATACAAGACTGATGTAACAACATACGACCTAAATATAGCTTAAGACAAATTATTATGTAATGATCGGTACCCTATAAATCACACAAACTGCCAAGACAGTACATTCTTCTTGTCTGAATGTTTTTCCTCGCTATTTTGGATGATCTAGCATAACATTTTGATCAAAAACTATTCCTTTAGTGCGAGAGGATCTGAAAACCTTTAAAAGGATAGCTCATCCTGTGATATACTCACCCTCATGTCATTCCAAACCTGTATAAACCATCTCCTGGAAACATAAATGAAGAATTTGTTTTTCAAAATATCTTTGTATTATTTTGTATTCCACAGAACAACAGTTTTCAGTTTTGGGTCAACAAAAGATAAAGATAGTATTAATTGTATAAACTGGATTTTTTTTGCATTTGGGTTTAGTTTGTGCTTTAAGGATGCTGTAGGAATAAATAATGTAACAAATGAACATGATATCCAATAGGTACCAGTAAAGGCAATTGAGGTCTTTCAATGTGCTTGATCTGTTGAGGGCAATGTCAGTTTAACAGTCCGCATTTCTGGCCAAACTGTGAGTAAACTGATATTTTTAAATTAGTGCAACCAATATGTGGCAATCTAAAAGATGAGGAAATACATTATAGGTTAACATGAGCCAAAAGGTCAAAGGTGAGAGGCTTAAACAGGTTCCATGAGCAGCTCATCTATGTCAGACGACTCCAGCTCACGAAATGCCGCATGAGACCCGATAACAGCTAGTGTAGCACCTGAATAAATAAAAATTAAAAAAAAAATTCAGTTTCAGAGGAACCTTTTCTGGAAAAACAAGTACAATGAGATGAGGATGAAAAACTCACCTAGTAACCAGAACACAGCAGCTCCTGCACCTGCGAGCCAGAACACAGGGAAGGAAACCCCTCCTGCTAAACCTAACTGGTGTCCCTGAGTCAACTCACGACCTGAGAGAAACAGAGGAGTGCGTTTGCTCATCAGATCACTTACATCACATCAAATATCCAGCCCTTAAACTTCAAACTAGCATTTTAAGCAAACAAATCCAATGACGCAGCTCATACAGCCTCACATATAACCACTAAAACAACACCTCACTCTCTTACCGAAAACAACCAGCTTCTTTTCCAGCGTTTTCAAGTGAATTATATAGAAGGCACCAGCAAACACTCCCAAGGCAATCAAGAGCATTGGGGAACTGATGCTGGAGGAGAAAAGGAGAGAGAAAGTTTTATTTGAACCTCCTGTGAATGTTTATTCTGTTAAATGCCTTCCAGATGGTTGCATGAATGAGGACCTTCAGAGAAACTTAAACACACACAGCCATGTTGTGTACATAAGAACAGAGGCTTATCAAACATTTTTATTTCTATTACAGTGAGCCTTTTATTTAATTTCAAGAAGCTACATATTTTTGATTATTACCTCATTTGTAACATACATTCTAGATGATTATTAGCAAACAGTTCCTTACATGCAGTAGAGGATGAGTCCCAGGAAGATGAAGGTGTAGTTGCTGTGATAGGTGTTCATGTTCCTCAGCACACGCTGGCACAGCTCTCCAAAATTGCGTGGTTTGGAGAACTTGCGCTGGTCCACAAAACTGGCCCACGGACGGATGGACTTCCTCCTGCGGTCAACCCAATCCTTAATCACATTACCAGACAGACCTTTGGGCAGCCACAGCCTGACATCCACAAAAGACAGGAAAATAGAATTACCAGAGTAATAATAAAGTTTATACATTTCATTCATTTTAAAACATATGTGCACCATAATAACACAATTAAGGGTAATAACAACACATAACACATCATATATGACATGATTTTTAATTATGTGTAATTTATTATAATGGCAAACAATAGAAATGAAAGGAAGTTACTGACTGTAGATCGATATGACTTCAAATGAAAGAATACACACTTTACTCACCTCCCCACTACTCCAGCCCCAGGAAGCTGTTCTGCCTCACTGCTGAAAGGGTCACTTGCTTTTCCATCCATTTCGGTGCGTCTAATAACATAAGAATTGAATTAACAGGAAAATGTAAGTACTGTAACCATTAAAACATCTAGTTAATTTCCAACTCAGTTCAGACTATTGTACTATATGGCACTGCTATGAGTTGTAGAGGACACTCTGGATGTCGAATGAGGAAAATGGGACCCTTTTCTAATGAAATGTCCATCATTTTGCTCATTCAAAATATTTTCAGCCTATTTGCATTACTGTAGTCATTATACTGCTACATTATCATAGTACACAAAGGAGAAGAGGTTAAGAGGTATGGGAAACCTTAAAAGTGGAAAAGGTTGGTATAAGAAGGTCTCTTGAGAACAGAATGAACAAAGACTTTATTAACTCCCCAGTAGACCACTGCATACACTTTTCTCTTTCATTCTTTATGAAACAATAAAAAAAAAACGAATTAAATAAACATAATAGCTTTCATTATTCTAGCTACTTCGTTTAGAAGACTTTCCATCTACTGTGCAGCAAGTTATAAATGTCTTAGATTACATTATGTGTGCTAATGGAAAATCGATGTCACTCATATGGGTTGGGGCAGAAACTCTGCATCCACAACGACAAAGAATCCGGAAGAACAAGTTTGTTAAGCTGCTGCATTACGTCAGATGTGTCCAAAACATATTAAGTTATTAAATAAGACCATCTAACAACGCGATCTTTTTGACGGGTTGGTATAAAAACACACCCCAAAGTTTGTTTATCAAATCTGTTACGGAAACTATTCGCTCTTTCTTCAGTAATGTTGATTCCCCAACAACTATGAAAATCTGATATAAATGAACTTTGAGGAGCGACTGTAAATTTAGATATTGCAAAAACTGAGAGGAAAATAAACCCTAAAACAAAGATCTTACTCACAGTACTTTCTGTAGCTGTGCTCGGTGTGTTGCCGTGCGGCGGATATGATGCGGATCTTCTTCTGTAGACGAACTAACGACCGCCTCCTAGTGACATGGACCAAACCAACAGCACAGGCAAACAGATATTAAAGGGGTCCTACTATGCTTTTTCACTTTTTCAACTTTAGTTAGTCTGTGATGTTGCTGTTTGAGCATAAAAAAGGTCTGCAAAGTTACAAAGCTCGAAGTCCACTTCAAAAGGAGATATTTTATTTAACAGAAATCACTTTTCAAAAACTACAACAACCGACTCATTTGGACTACAACGCATATTTTCCTGGATTTGTGATATCACAAATATCGACGAATGGGACGAGACCTGGTTGAGCTGCACTAGAGAAGGCAACGAGTGTTATCATCACTATGTCAGAGACATGCTAGCTTTCCCCAAGGCAGACGAACTTAGAGTAGTTACAATCATCCGGGTTTAAATCGCGCTCAAATTTATTAGATTTTTGACACAATATTTACACTGAAGCTAGCTGGCGGCTATGGTAAGGGGTATGACCAATCACAGCACACACTGGCCCAGCTAACCAATCACAGCACACACTGGCCCAGCTAACCAATCACAGCACACACTGGCCCAGCTGACCAATCACAGCACACACTGGCCCAGCTAACCAATCACAGCTCATTTCGTATTTCCGAAGTCGAGCCTTCATTTGATACAGGAACTATTCGAGCCGTTCATGCCAGACTGGGGAGAGAGGTGTTGTAATAATGTAAAATATTTGAAAAATAATGTGTTTTTCGAACAACCTAGTATGAGAGCCTGTTCTAGTACACCCCCAAAACAAAATCAAGACTTTGTAAAAGAGCATAATAGGACCCCTTTAATCAAAGCCTCACACGTATTTTTATTATGATGAATTATATTCTACGATTACGAATTATAATAAATTATTATTTTATCTAAAGGTCATGACGTTCATACGTTCAACATAGAGTTGTTGTTGTTGTTTTGTTTTGTTTTTTTAGTTTTACAAGTTAATTAAGGTCTGTGGATAGAAGAGGACGTTTTGTTCTACAACATTAATTACACACTACCATACCTCATTTTACTAATTACTAATGTTTATGTTTCAAGGACTAGCTACAACTACCACAAGGATGCTTGAAAAATTAGACAACGGTAGTTCTTATAAAGTAACTTGTTATCAGCATACGGTAAGTAAGTATACTTATACGTAAGTTAGTAAATAAATAAATAAATATTTCTACTCTCTTTTGCGTGTCTAATTTCCCTTCCCAATATGGCGAAATTTTGCGGACGATGTCTCATAACCGTGTCATGTCGACATGGAGCCTCGATCTACAAATCATATGCGAGTGAATTTCCTCCACATACACAGATAACGGTCTGCGATTGTTCGGGCTCCGTCAACAGTGCTGGCTGACGCTCCAACGGTGTTTTTCCAGTTGAGTTGTGGGTGGTGTTAGGAAGGGTTAGAAAGAACAAGAGTGTAAACACAATCCAGATAAACAGTTTGATACAGGTAAGATGCTTGTTGAACCTCAGTTATTGACGTAAGATATGAGTGTTTTATTTATACAGCAAAATATCAAAACAAAACAAATCAAACCTTGTTGTTGTAAAAGAACACAATTCCTTGTCCGGGCGCTAATAACAAAAATGTTGGACTCTTGTGCTGTGTGTAGTATGTAACATGGTTCTTGTAGTTTTTTTTTTATTATCGTTATTTCATCGAGAGGTTTTGGTGCAGTGTTGATGTCAGGTTAGCTCATAGAAAAATCTAACGTTACTAATCTTAGAGGTAACTACTAGAGGCGGAAGTCCGCTGCAGGAATGTCAGCTGACGCCGCAAACATGAACATTTGGACGTAGTCTCAACCTTCAACCACATCTATTGTTCACATAATTGAACGGTGTATTACAATTAAACCTAAATGCGTGTCATTGATTCTTTTTCTTTTATCACCTTGGCTCTGTTCCCTCAGCTCAAACGTGACGTTATGTAAAGAGTCCACGTGACCCTGCGCGAGAGGAACGTTTGACGGAACAGCTGACGGAGGACGGGTCACCACAGAAACGCTTTTCGGATCAAAAATAACTGCGCTGTTTCCACTACGACCGTGTAAATGTCTTTTTATGTTGTTTTTGTACCACTTGGAGACACAAATACGGAATTTGAATGTTTTATAGAAGTATATTTGAACCCACAGTCGATCCTGATAGTTAGCTCGTAGGCTAACGTACAGAGAATGTATTGTGTACTTAGTATTTTTGACAGCCAAGTTTGTCTGTTTTATTCAGTGTATATATAATATAAAAACTCACGTTTAATATTTATGTGTGTTCTTCTTTACCAGACCCATTTGGAGGAACCATGGCTTCAGCGAAATGCTCGAGATATTCCCTGTACTGGGAGGAGACTGAGTGCCTGAGCTACTATGAGATGCTGTCCCTCCATGAGATCTGTGAAATCGTGGGCTCCCAACTCACAGAGACTGATGTCGAGGTTTTGTCCTTTCTCCTCGATGAAGCTTATCCTGGAAAACATCCCCTCGATCCAGAGGGATGGACAGATGAGTTGCCTCCAGGTCCTGATGGATCTTCACAGGGTAATTCTCCATGTCCTTGGCTTCTGAAAACATGGCGAAGAATACAGCCGCAGAATGAGCCGTGCCCAATCGCCGGTTGCCACAGACCCAAGAGTGGCGTTGAACTGCTGTTGGAGTTGGAGAGGCGAGGATACTTGAGCGAAGCAAACCTCAAACCTTTATTGCAGTTGCTGCGAATTCTGACACGACATGATGTCCTGCCATTTGTCTCACAAAAGAAAAGAAGAACAGGTGAGTATCAGGTGTCAAAAAAACAGTGAACCGTAATCAAAACCAGTTATGTTTATGGTCACATACTAATGTGTCACCTGTACTGTTAGTGTCGCCAGTGCGAGAGATGGTAGAATACCAAGCGGTGGATACCAGAGGGGACACACAATTCAGCTCAAACTCAGATGTACCATCATTGGAAAACACACAAGACCACCAGTGGAGAGCGGGTGAGAAAAGATTGCCGCTAAAATCTCAGCACATCAATTTATTAATTGCTTTTGTTTGTTAAACATTTTGTCTCTATATTTTTCATCCTTTTTGGAAATATATTATAATATTATATAATACCATCACCTAGTTATTTTTCAAGGCGTAAGCTGTTTTCTGTGAATGTGCAGAACTTCTGGCTCATTGGCAGATATGAGTAAATATAATTACTATTGCACTACACTATTTATATGCTAAAGTAAATACTAGTATCAAACATCATAAAGGACTGTTTTTGTACATCTAATATAACTAGTAGCGGAAGACACCGGAAGCCTTGGAAGTTCAAGTTACCGATGGCTGCACCCAGTTTAATAATATTTTAAGTTTAAGTATAATATGATATAATATCATATAATTAGTTTAAAATAATTAAGGAATATTTTCCACATTCCATATTTAAAGGATATATAATTTTTTTAATATTTAATCATTTTAGTTTATATGCTGCAGTGTAACAGTGCATAGTAGCACTGTATATTTTCAATAAATCATAAATATATGAAAAATATCATGTTGGGACTTTTATTTTAGCAATGACACAAACAGTTTGAACTGATTAACAGAAATATATTGAATTTAAGTTGCAGTTTTTACTGCTTGCGTTGTAGTCTTGATTAAACTAGTAGCAAGCGTTGTCAAACAGCCCAGTTTGTAGGACATTAAGCATAAAGCATATTAAAATAATTCACCTTGTTGCTTAATTTTATATACTTTTGGTAAAGTCTTAATGAGTAAATGGTGAATATTCAAAAACATTGCCAAATATTGCTCATCCCTGGTTGTTTTGTATTAATGTATGTTTGCTTTGTTAGGGACTGGCTCTTCCGTGACAACAACCAGCCCGGTCCGACGGAAGCGAGGTAGAGGTCACCACTGGAGCAGAAAATCTAGGGGCAAGCCTGAAATCCAGCCTCAGCCAACACCCAACAAAGTGACCTGTGGTAAGATCACTTTTTATCCTCATTGTTACACTTCTTCTTTTGTTTAGTCTCTCTTACTAGCATTTTTTAAACGTATGAATCTCTTTGCCTTTCCATTTCTCTTTCCTTTTGTTTGATTTTATCTATAAAATGCTCCACAGCAGAGTGTACCTTAGCGCTCCATTTCTTGACAGTTTATAAATAACCAGTCACCCATTCATTAGTGCCTGAACCTCTAATGCTGTCAGAATGAAAGTGAAACTGTCACAAAAGAGGTCCATGTTAAACGTATGTCATCATTCATCCCTTTGTGAATTCCCTGCACTCTGTACTATTATCACTTTGAGTTTCATTCTGACTGGACTCAAAGGCTGCTCACACCAAAGCCTCTTTATGCTTTTGCTAGATGGGATGTCATCAGGGCATTGCTAAAATCTCTTCAGAACAGAGCACATGAGACACACTGAGTGGCAATAATGGCACAGTAGGTAAGGAAATACCAAGATAAAAACTGCTTTCTCAAATTTTGCCAAAACTGTTTGTCAAGAAAGAAGTGGTTTATGTGAGGCATTTATTTTCTGGAAGGACTGTTTTTCTGGGACATTCGGATCTCAAAATACCAAGAGCCATAATTTATCTTATGCTCCAATTTGCGTTATAGCATTAAAAACCGACCATGTTTTCCTGCATAATACTCTTGTGGGAGCTGAATGTCTCATAATAATGTTTAATTAATACAGATACACGTCAAATAATTTCTTAGAATTGATCACTATAATAGGTCGGGGGGGTTTTCGTAACAGTGCAGATACATCTATTGTAATAATTTAAGATGCATTGTCTTGCTTACTGTTTCAACTCTTTTAATCTTTGGGTTCACAGTGTATCTTTTGGTGTGCCTAAAAATATGATATACATTTATAATTAGACAGATAAATCTGATTTTCACCATTCAAATGTGTTTTTATAATGTGTGGATTCTTTCAAAATATCTGTCTGATGCATGAGCCACACATTAAACCTCACTTTTAAAAACACGAATGAAAATCAGGGAACTCTGTATGCCAAGATGGATGAAATTCAGAAGATAATTTAATATATTATTTAAACAGGATAAACATGGAATAGTTGTTGTTGCACTCAATATACACACTCAAGTATCTGCATCCAGCCTTATTCATGTGTCCATACAGGATGGGAGGGTGCCATTTTGTTTTTTCAAATGTGTGTGAGTCAGACTCTTGACATGCTCTTTGTTCACCTCAGATGCTCGGCACTAGTCAGTTTTACTCTACTGTTACAAATAGGGTTGGGAATCGAAAATCAATTCCAAATCCAGAATTAGATACTGAAGTTCAGGAATCGGATACTTGTAGTAAAATTAAAATTTCAGTTCCACATATCAATTCCTGTGTGCGCATCTTTTTTCTTTTCTTTTTTTGGTGGTGAAAAGGGACTGTTAAAAATGTTTGTCTTTGAATAATTCAAGAGATTCATTCAAAAACACTGATTCATCCAGTAATGAAATGAGTAAATCTTGAGTGAGTCACTGAATCATTGCATTCATAAATTCCATGAGATTTTGTTTAGTTGTCTAATATTTTTTCTTCAGAATTGGGAGAGAACTACAACCTCCATTAAAAAAAGTGTTAATTTATCCAGAATCATGCCGCTCTATTTTGCACACAAACAGCTCTTTATCAAGTCCAGTTTTTATGTAGCCGGCTGATTTTTGTTCATGGTATTCAGCAGCAATTAAAAGTTTTGCAAAAAGAGACGGAATAAATATATTTGATATCAGAACGTTTGACTTAATTTTTTTTTTTTAACCACCTTGGAATCAAAACTGGGAATCGATAAGAATCGGAATTGGAATTGATCAAATTCAAACAATACCCAACCCTAGTTACAAATGCTTATTGACCTGTCTGTACAAATACTGCATGGCTTTGGTTCCTCATTATGTGCACTGCAGGGGCTCTTAAACCCTCAATTGATGCTGCTTATTTCTTTGCATATTCATGTCACCTGCTTAAAGCATTTAGCTTTTGTTAAAGGCAGGAAATTAGAAAATCTTTTTTTTTTAATCATAGTCTTACTTATGTACTTACTACAGTGTGCCAGTAACAGCTGCTCGTATCAATGAAAACAGGTATTTTGGTGCAGCCCAATAGTGCTTAATGGTTAATATATTCCTCCTCATCAGAAACAATATTGTAAAGCTAATATTTGGTTACAGATCGTATACCTCTTATAGTTGTGAGCATTTATGTTTGAGTTGTGCTTTAGACTTGCCTCAATTCCCCTGCTTCCTTCATGGGTCGATTTCTATAGAGAAAAGTACACTCACATTCTTTGTTTTTATCTCTGTCACATTTTTCATCAACTTCTCTATCCCTGTTTCTGTTCCTTTTCATTTTCCTTTGGATAAGCAGTTTTCAGTGTGATTAACAGTGGTGTGCCTGAATGAAATTTCTGTGAAGAGATTATTGAATAATGGGCCACTGAGACTGAGCTGCATCAGCCTGTATTCCTGGTGTCTCATGTCCAGTAAAACACTGATTATTGTCACTCCACTTCTTATTTAAAGCATCGATCCTCTCTCTTCTGTAACTGAGCTCTGATGCAGCCAAAGCTAATCTACTATCTGCACTGACCTTTTGTTTAGTGTGATGAGAACCCTTTGTGTCCTAACTTACTTCACCTGTCCCTTAAACATTTGGTTACACTGCACTGTGAGCTTTTTTGACCTATAAAATGTTCGTAAATCAAGCTTCAATCTTATATGGTAAATTTGAATGCATTCTATTCACTACGAGATCCTTCCTGTTGTTCAGATTCTGCCATGCAACTTCCAACATTACAGTCCTTCTGTGCCATGATTGACCTATGAACTTTCACCTTTGTTTTACACCTGAACATGCTGTTTGCTGTGTTGACTCCGCATTTGATCTTGGCAGGTTGACTCAAGATTGAGTAGAAAAAGCAGGAGAATGGATAGAGTGAAAGAGACAGAGCTCACAACAAAAACAAGTGTGTGCTGTCTGCTCTGTCCGATCACACACAGTCAAGACTTGTGTGCTTTAACTCACGCGCCTGGTCCATGTCCTAAGGTAAAGAACCCCCTTCCTAACTCGCATAGGATGAGGGGCGAATCTAATACTCTGTGTTCAAATGTCAGTTTTCAGTTGTTGCTGTCCACTTCCCCAATGACATGTGCTTTGAACTATGAACTTAATTTGGGAACAAATAGGAACAAAATCCTCTCTGGAGGGGTTGTTGGCCTCAGTGTTTCACAGAACTGACTCATGAAAAATTCCTTGGAAATTTCTGGAAGTCCATTGGGTGTGTCCTATTAATTTGCCTGTAATGCAACATTTCATTACACGACTCTAATTCAGTGCAATCTATGTTCAAAAACAAACCATTCTACAGTCGTTGACCAAACTCAGCCCCAAAGCTCAGTTTTGCAATGATTTGTCCTTGAAAAATCATCCTCTGTGAACCTTTGCTGGAGCAGTTCTGAGGAAAATGACCCAACAGTTCTTGTTTAGACCCATCTCAGTGTTTTGTATTTGTGTTTAAGCTTTCAGTATTGGAACTTTACCTTCGATACCTTAATTTATTAAATCGAATTCTGCCAGTGTTTTGATTTTTGTAGAATTGAAGTAGACACTGGTTGTAAAATTAGTAAAATAGCAGTCCGTTAAGCTCATTCTCGACCAAAGAGGTTTAAACCTGCAGTCTCCATAGGAATGAACTAGAAAATGTTGCTTTTACACACAGACAAAAGATTGTGCATATGAACTTTGCCTGCTTGACCAAAAAATAAGACATAGCAAAACTGTTGCAACAACATTCATCCAAAACTGCTTGTTTCTCTCTCTCTGTCTTCCTCTCCTTTCTCTATGTCCACAGTTGAAAAACATACTGACTCAAGTGTCAGGAACAAAAACAAGTTGGCCATCCTCACATACCTAGAGAGGGAGAGAATGAAAGAAAAAAAACAATCAAAAGAAAAGCTTGACCCTGATCTATGGGTGCAGTCGGTCAGCCTTATGCCCTCATTTCTCTCCCTCCATCTTGGTTTGTTTTTCAGCAGGAAAGAGGGATCGAAATAAGTGTGGAAGCTCTTCGCATGGAGCAACACCCCATAAAATGACACAACATTTTTATTTGATTTTTAGAAAAATAGTTACTGTTTGTTTGTAAGAAGCAATTTACAACATCTTCAACAACATATAATATCTGAATATTTGTGAATACATGTTATCTTTCTGAAATGCTCTGGGATGCACAAAATGTACAAAAAACTGAATGCTTACAAGGGGGGCATTATATTGACAGAAAAACCTACACTGTGCCGCTTATTATAGGTACCTTCTGTGTACTGAAACTGGAAGCTGAGAAAAACCAATGTCCTGTATTGGTTTATGTGAGGAGCTCTGATAATTTGTGTTTAATGGAACTAAAAGTGCTCTGTAAATGTGTGCTGTGTTTAAAAGAACCTTAAAGAACTCTTGTGTTTCGAGTCTGCTTTCCAACCTGCATTACAAATTATATTTGGGAGATTACCATTACAGCCACAATATCAGTCTAATGGCGCTTTTCCACTGCATGGCACGGTATGGTTCGGTACAGTTCACTTTTGGGGGGTTTTCCACTGGGTACAGTACCTAGTACTTTAAGTACCACCTCGGTTGAGGTTCCAATGGCACTTTTCCACTGCATGGTATGGCTCGGTATGGTTCACTTTTGGGGGGTTTTCCACTGGGTACAGTCCCTGGTACCTGGTACTTTTTTTAGTACCACTTCGGTTGGGGTTCCAAGTGAACCGTACTGTTACCAAAACGGGGCGAGTAAACTCTGCTGATCACGGATTGGCCGTAGAGAATCGTCACTACCTGCAACACAGACACAACAGACCTGCTAGATTTAAATCAGCACAGCCAGCGAAGGATCAAATGCAACTGTTTTGAACAAGCGCACCTTTTTTTAACAACCAAAAAGTTTTGTTGTCTGTTGCGGAAGTACAGACGTTCTTCTCGTTGATGGCAGAGGAGCGGATCCAGCGAGAGCTTGATGGGGCGACACGGAATTAACATTTTTTTTAGGAGTCGTGGTAAACCATACCGTTACCAAAACATGCCGTGTAAACTCTGCTGATCACTGATTGGCCGTAGAGAATCGTCACTACCTGCAACACAGACACAACAGACCTGCTAGATTTAAATCAGCACAGCCAGCAAAGGATCGAATGCAACTGTTTTGAACGAGCGCACCTTTTTTTAACAACCAAAAAATGGTTTTGTTGTCTGTTGAGGAAGTACAGACGTTCCTCTCGTTGATAGCAGAGGAGCGGATCCAGCGAGAGCTTGATGGGGTGATGCGGAATGAAAACGTTTTTCAGGGTGATGCGGAATGAAAATGTTTTTCAGGAGGAGTCGCGGCAGTAGAGGCGGCGCAACTATAACGACGTGAATAATCCCGCCCACTCTAAAGCAGTGCTAAACTGCAGTGGAAACACAAACCGTGCCGTGCCATACTGAGCCGTGCCGTGCCAAGCCGAGTCGTACCACGCAGTGGAAAAGCGCCATAAATTTAAAGCCTTGTTTTGGCTGGTTTCCTTGTTAAGGGTTTAATTTATTCTTCATCAGAAATGGATAATCTTTGAACAGTGTATTTTAGACCATTGTGCGAATGATTTGTTTTTAAATTATATTAATTAAACTTTCAGTACAAGTTACATTACATGATTCAAGATTCAAAAATCCTTATAGGCATGGTGAAGGAAAGCAATACATTGCCAAAGCATTTGCAGCAATGTATGTATACATGCATACAGTTACACTGTCTACCACATCAATCCTGGTCCACATGTCTCGCTTGCATTTGAACAATCTTGTAATTACAGTACCGTTCAAAAATTTGAGGTTCAAAATGGTTTGAAACTTTTTCTATTTCAATAGATTTTTATTCTTGGGTTACACTTTATTTTGAGGTGTCCTTGTTACCGTGTAAATATACATATCAATACTAAGTAATATTAATTAACTACATTGTGCTTACTATATGGTTAGGATGAGGGTTTGGATTAGGGTTACTTGCATGTAATTCATTAATTTATTGTTATTATAATAGTAAATACATGTAACGTGTAACAAGGACACCTTAAAATAAAGTGTTACCTTTTCCTGTGATGGCAAAGCTAATTTTCAGCAGCCATGATTCCAGTCTTCAGTGTCAAGTTGATGCTTTCTTTAATATGCTGATTTGGTGCTCAAGAAACATTTCTATTTATTGATGTTGAAAACAATTTTGCTGCTTAATATTTGTAACAATGTGAAAGTCTGTATTTCTGACTTTTGATCAATTTAATGAATCAGTGCTAAATAAAATTATTAATTTCTTATTTACTTACCCCAAATCTTTGAACAGTAGTGTAGTGTACCTGTAATTATATTTAATAATATGTCATTATTTACTAGCTAAGTCCTATACTGTATACCTGACTGATTATAGAATGAAGGGAAAGTGTCCAGTCGGGTATTTAACTCCAGTCACTTTATGAATAAAACTGGGTCAAAATGATAATTCCTGAAGTGCTGCTGTTCACAAGCAAATCCGTAAATACAGTACATTCAACATTTATTGAATTTTTTCAATAAATGTTTTTTGTTTTATTTTCACTAATGAATAAAAGTGTCACTCAAACGCTTACGTTAATGGTTCGTTTTTCATATTCACTGTTGCTTTGTAAACGTCCCAACATGCAAAAAGGTGGAGTTTGCATTGGAGCTTTGGTTGTAGAAAGGTTGGATTTGTGTTGCAGCGATGTTCTGAAGATTGATGGGTCCACTTCCTCCTCTGACCTCTGAGCTAATGACATGAAAGGAAATGACATCACTGCGAAGCTCTGGTTCAGTATGTATACTCCAATCGTATTTTGCCATCTCTGTTCCCTGTGCTGTTGCATGACATCAGTTCTACCTCCACTGTTTGGTAAAGCCAACCTGCATAAATCTCTGTTAATAACGACCCCTACAGAATTCGGATCTACATATCAAACCATAAATATCACCAGATCTGTCGCCTGAAACTCAAATGCAAGCCCATCTCTGGATTTTGCTCAAGGTGCTTTCAATCCACCTGAACTTTCCGAACGGCCTCAGATCATGTGCTTTAAAACTCCCTCGTCTTTGTGATACAAGTGCAATGTTCGGTAAACATGTTGGACTTTACCAATGTGTTTCCAAGTCCTGTGTGCCTGCAGATAATTTGAAAGCCACCTCATGATGAATTTGTCCAATCTCAAGTGCAAAACCTAAATCAGCCTACTGGTTTCACTTGTAGCCTCACTGACTACAAGTGAAAAATCAGGGTCAATCGACTCCAAAAATCTCGATGTCCAACAATTTTGAGGATGTTGACCTCAGTTATCCAGTAGATCTCAGAGCTGATGCCGTACCAGAAAGAGTTTGACTTTTGTGCCCTCTGGTTTAATACCCTTTGTCTGTAAATAACCAATCAAATTTTAAACAGGGCAGGAACTTTTTTTAGACAAATGTATATGAATCAGTGCTAATCCTAGTGATTTTTCAACCAATTTTTGTCTATAAACAAATAAACTGAATGTCAAGTCTCATTATCACTGTACTTTTTGCCCTCCTTTTGACCCCCCCCCTGCTGATCTGTGTCATTTCTCGTGTTCTTCCCCTTTCCTCCTGCTACTGTTTTTCTCGTTTCTCTCCATCCTTGCTGCAAAAAACCCTTCACACCCTGAATCTTCACAAATCCATCTCCATCCCTTCATGATTTTCTTTGCCCCTTTGCATGCCACCCTTCATCCTTCATCCCACCCTCCTCTCTTTCTCTGTCTCCAACACTCTTCCGATCTCAGATGTCCGGCTACGTGTGCGTGCGGAGTATTCAGAGCACGAGTCAGCCCTTCGTGGAGGAGTTTCTTCAGACAAGCAGCAGCCGTTGGAGAGGCAATTTGAACTGTTCAACCGAGCGAGCATGCTGCTCCGTACCCGGGATCTGGGCTCTATTGTTTGTGATATCAAGTTCTCGGAACTTGCCAACCTGGATGCCTTCTGGGCAGACTATCTGAGTGGGGCGCTGCTCGAGGCACTGAAAGGAGTCTTCATCACAGACTCTTTGAAAAGGGCAGCGGGGCAGGAGGGGGTCCGGCTGCTTGTCAGTGTGGATCAGGATGACTACGAGGAGGGCAGGAAACTGTTGCTCAGAAGCCAGACACATAATGGGACAAACTGGGGAACACAAAGTCTGTAAGTACTTTTTTATGCATTTGAATTTGTTGGTTTTTTGTGGTCTGATACATTAGTGTTGAATGTAGAATTTTATATATACTCCCTCTCTTGCCTCTATATTAGCATGTAACCACCAGGGGGCAGTAGAAAACAATTTTGTCTTGTCCCCTTTTATACAATATGAGTGTTATTTTAATATTTATATACAGTTATAGTCTTTCATAATATTTTGAGTTTTCTTTTATTTTATAATTTTTAAAAAAATATATATGTTTTAGTACGCTTAGGTTACAGTTTATGTACTTATATTTTAATATTTCTGTTTAGCTTTTGTTTTTTATATTTCATTATATTTATTTATTTATTTATTTATTTTTACTTCAGCTTAAACTCTTTTTCAGTTGCCAAGGCTATATTTCTGCCTATATATCTATCTATTTATTTATTTTATTTTATTTAAGTTTTATGTGAATTAACCAAAACGATTTTCATAGTTTTATTTCACAAAAACAACACTGGCGTGAACCTTAATTAACAAAGAAAACATGTTTCCAAAGTTAAATAATTATATATTATTAAATAATTATTTTTATGCTGTCATTGTACTAAAGCCAAAATATAGATTTTTTGAATATTATCTAGAAAATCTAAATTAATTAAATAAATTATTTATTTGGATAGCCCTTTTCACAATAAATATAATTCCAAATCAGTTTTAACGAGAACAGGAACATAATGATTATCAATATTATATAATATTACAATCACTTTCTGTAAATGTTAAAATATCTTTAATTATTATCTTTAGTTAATGGTAGTTACATTAGCTTTGGCAGCCTAAATAAAATTCACAGAATCTCAGATGCCAGTTTAAATCCCACAAAGTCTTGATTTTAAAGTATATTTTGTTCCCATATGTATAAAGTAATGTATTCCATGTTTCCTTCACAGGCCCTGAGAAATGTCAGTTTCACTTGGGACCTTCAACTATGATGGACGAAGATGATGTTTTGCCTTTTTATTTCATTGAGTGTTGGTGACCCTGGGAAGGAGAGCCTGTTGGAAGAGTCTAGATTAAACTGGGCAGCCGTTTTGTTGGACACTGACTGTTTCTGAAGGAAAAATTATTGAGTTTTCAGAGGTTGGGTTCAAATATAGGGCTGTCTCTCTCTCTACTGCAGGTCAGTTTAAACATGGACAAATGCACACCCATAGAAAACAAAAGATGGAGGTTCTGCATCTGTACCACTTAGTCTGCCACAGGTGGTATGTGGATAGAAGTTTTTTCCAAATGTGATGACATACAATGAACCACTGAATTCAAGTTATGTGTTTAACTTTGTTTGGGAAATTTAAAATGACCTCTTTGATAAAAGATAGGAATGATTGGAATACACAACAAATATGTAACCCAAAAGGATATACAAATCAAAGAATGATTTATAAACATCCAAATGTATAGTTAACAAAAAGATTGTTAGGATTTTTATTTTATTTGAAAAGGTTTTGAAAGATTGAATGGTAACTTAATTCTTAGGAGTTTGGGCTGGTAACAATGCTTCAGATGACCAAATGTACACTTCCACCATTGGACCGTTTAATATGTTGTGTAACTTAACTTCTCCAGAGTGCACTGTTGTACTGCTTATAAGAGTCAACTTAGATAACATTGGAAATCCTTCATACAGTATCTGACTGGAACAAATCTATCAAAGTTGCCAAATTTGAAGCTTTATTGAGGATGGGGAAATACCACAAGATGGAACCGAGATTAACTCTGCTTTTTTACAACAAGGACTTTCTACAGTGTGCACCACTGTGAGATTACATGTGTCCCACCATCTGTCCCAACATTATTTGTCTCAGAAACAAGGTCATGGATCATCAAGGCCTTTGGATGCCTTTGTAAACTGATGATAGAAAAATTGTTAATTATAATTAGATGCCCACTGATTTGACACCAGCCTTAACACAACTGGATTAACCTCTAGTCATGTTTCTGGACTAGTGTGTTCTTATAAAGAAAGAATGTGTTGACCCTTTGGTTATATTTGTACTCTTATGACAAAAGTGCAAAGAAGATAAAAGTTCAGTAGTATTTAGTGGTAATTCAGTTTGGAACAGTCCTGTCATGACACCAATGTAAGTGAATTGGGAGTGGAACATTGAACGCTTTTGTGTTTTCATGTTTTTGTTTAAAATTATATTACTTGATATTGTTTTGGAATATGTACATTTATTTAACTATATAATCCCTAATAAAGTCCTGTCAGAAAATAATTATTTCTGATACTGTGTGCTAAAAGACATTTAATTTCTTTGGGAAATGTTGTAATAATCAAGGAACTTTGTTGCCGTACCATGGGTGCAGCAAGCGCAATGATATTATGCAGCGCCTGAAAATAGTCCCCAGCTAGGTAACTTCCAACGGAAGGCACGCTCCTTGTGCAAGCAGGTGGTCACATTGGTTATGTTGGCGGAAGTTAGCCTATTTTCAGGCGCTGCATAATATCATTGAGCCTGCTGCACCCATGGTATGGCAGCAAAGTTCTTGATTATTACGCCGGAATGAGAGTATAGTTCCTAGCCATATCGGCCTAGAAAATCGCAGCTTTTTATTTTCCGTCGGTCTTAGTACACAATGTAACTACAGAAGAGTCAAGTTTTAAATAGGAAAAATATCGAAACTCTTTGTTCATTTTTAAGCGAGATGCTAACGGTCTAATCAGATTCAATGATCTATGCTAAGCTGCAGCTAAAAGTGCTACGCCAGACCCGGAGATCGGCTGAATGGATTTGAAAACGGTAAAACTCAACTGTTTAACTCTATGGGAGTTGGAAAATGAGCCTATTTTCAAAAATAGTGGAGTGTTCCTTTAAATATCATTATATAGAATTGAGGTGTGTGTCTATTGACTTTGCTGTAAATGTAACTATTCATTAATAACTTTTTGGGTTGTAAATTTAACTGTATGTCTATACTAATTTGCTTAGAGCACAGTGTTTTGGAGAGAGGCCTACTCAGAGCCTTCACCGTGTTTTGTGCGCAATTCAGTCATTAAACCAGTAGATGGCAGCTATATGTTTGATCAGTCCTAGTCAAGCCTATAGGCAGGGGCGGATTAAGGTGGTCAGGGGCCCCTAGGCTGCTCTTTGTGTAAGGCCCCCCCTTAATCATTATGCTTTACTGGAGAAATTTATTTAGTGTCATACATTGTCCACACGCAAATAGTAAGGTGAACTGGCATACACACACTCATTGGCACAGCCAATCCTACAGTGTTTTCTCTACATTCCCAGTGTCCCCACAGAATTTTGTAAGACTGTGATGGGTGCACATTGGTTCCTCTAGTCTAGGGGGTTCTGTGGGAATAAGAAAATTTTGTTCATTTTAAATTAAAATGCATAAATCTGGTGCATTTTGAGAGCAGAATCAAGTGACTAGATCAATGAAGAAATATGTGCTTTTTCTTAGTAGTAGTAATTATTTTATGCATATTTATTGGTTGCATAGATGTGAATGTGATGGTAGGGAACAATTTGCACTATATAAATTCTTATGAAAGCTACAAATGCCACTCTGTCAAGAGCAGGGAGTGATTTTTCTCCTTGTCTTTTGTTGTTTGATTATCATTAAAGCCGACACTTTACTCAAGACACGAGAGAAACATGAGATTTTTACACTATTTTTTTTTTAAATTCTCAATGACCAAATACATGCCTGGAAAAATGAATTTAACTAATCATCTTGTAATAAATGTCATTTCAGTTCTCCTTTCTGAGTATGAATGATCAGTAAAAACAACAACACTCAAGCACTGTAAAGTCTTGTTCAACTGACTGGCCTCTCCTGTTGTCAAGAGCAGGGAGTGATTTTTCTCCTTATCTTTTGTTGTTTGATTATCATTAATGCCGACACTTTACTCAAGACACGAGAGAAACATGAGATTTTTACACTATTTTTTTTTAAAATTCTCAATGACCAAATACATGCCTGGAAAAATGAATTTAACTAATCATCTTGTAATAAATGTCATTTCAGTTCTCCTTTCTGAGTATGAATGATCAGTAAAAACAACAACACTCAAGCACTGTAAAGTCTTGTTCAACTGACTGGCCTCTCCTGTATGATTTCATGTCTCTTCAGACCTTAGAACTGTACATGAATTATGAGCTTCTAGAACGTTTGACCTCCTAACTGAACTCCTTTTCACAAATTGAACATAAAAACAGTATAAATAACAAAAAATAAACAACAGTTCTTTCTTAGTCGTATTAAGTGAGAATAAGTGCTCTCTCTATATTCAAAGTGCAAATAGAGACCAATTTTTTTCAAGCATGATGCAGAGCTATAGACAACTACACAACCTATTATAGCCTACACGCTAATAACAGCCTAGATGTAGCCTAATTTGCGCGCATCAGGGAGTCGCTCTCTAAACGCGGGGTATTAAAACCGTTCTCGTTTTACTTTCGGTTTCGATTTAAAGCTCGCGCGAACTCTCAGCGGTGCTGAGCGTGCATTCTACAATACAAGACATTAATTTTGTCAGACGCTCTGCAATGAATGCTCCTTTTATGTTTCTTATTGGCCAATGAGGGTCTTTTTTTGTTCGTGCTGAAGTAAATTTAAAATAATAAAAAAAATAGTCCGGCCAATCCGAGGCCCCTGCACACGTGGGGCCCTGAGCCGAGGCAAGCCTGTTCGTTAATCCGCGCCTGCCTATACGCAAAACATATACCGAGGTAATCAAACGAATAAGGGAAATGAAGATTAAAAACACTTCTGCTGCTTTTCTCTCCTTCTCGCCCATACAGATGCGCTTTTGCGCCTTTTTCAGCGCCGGCGGTCAACGCGTAGTCATGGAAACCGCTAGCGGTAGAGCCAGACACATGAAGGATTTGCGCACGAGCACACACCCTCCACCCGACCCCCTCACCTTTCGCCCCTAATTTCAAATTCAGGCTCCTCACCCGATTCCGTGTCTGTCCCCCCCTAACCAAACCACCCCCAAAATATCTGGCCTCTCTCCCCCGTTTTGCTGCGTCCGACTCTTTTCGGTGTCCGAGCAGCTCTTGGCGTGGCGCAGACTGCCGCGTTCATCATCGATGGAAACGCTGGTAATGTCGTGTAAACAAACTCACAGCTTCATACATTTATTCTTTTGCGTATGTAGCTACAACTTTTCCATACCATTGCGTCATCCTTCTACCTCACTCGCTCTCTCTATTTTTGCCTCACTAATGTATATTTGTTTGTACTTTATGCCGTTTCTCTGCCGTTATATTCCATCAAAACGATTCACGCTAAAGTTGTCCCGTCTCGTTTAAACCCGCGAGCGAGCAGGACAGAGGCGGACAGGGTTATTGCCTGTAATGATTTCTTGCTCGGACCGGGGTTTTCTTTTTATTGATTAGATAGAAATGAATTCACGAGACAACCCTCTCTCGGTGTCGGTGCTTCTGCTTGTGTTTCTCTGCATGCTGTAATTGGCGCAGGGCATCGCGGGAATATTTGATTTGAACAGCGGAGATCTCCCTGTGAAATATGCATGCCCTCCTGTTTTACAGTCATGCTCCTGCGAACATTTTGCGATGCTCAGATTTGTCGAGGGATGATAAATGCACAGCTTTCTGCCACCATGAATGAAGCAAGCTTCTGTTAAGCTTTTTGGCCATTACTGCGGTTTGTTTTAAAAGTGCAGACCAAAAACGAGCTATTAGCGATTATTATAGTAAGGGAGGAATATATAGGCTACTGTATGTTTGCGAAAGGACACAGCTTTATAGGCTAATTGTTTCACCTAAACTGTTTTTTATCGCTAGAATTAAATAGCCTACCGTTTGGGTGTCACCGAATGCTAATGTAATAGGCCAAATTGCAAGGCTTTATTTTGCCGTTTTTGACGAACGTTTGAAAATTGAGGTTAAAATGTTTCAAAACCTTCAAGCTTTTTTAATAGCTTTGTTGTGATGGTTTGGTAGGCTATTCATATTTCCTTTATTTCTGAAGACTAGCCTAATTGTGCGCGGTTACGCGCGTATAGGCGTGCGAGCTTCTGTTTTGTCTCTTGTCCAGAAAATCTGGACATGGTGTTTACTCCTTTGGGAAGCTTTGTAATCAATATGGTCGATATTTGTTTGGCGGCCTATCCTTGATAACGACGTTGTAATGATACCATCACGCAGCCTCAGCATGGCCGTTAGTGTCCGCCGCCACACAGACTGAATCTCCGCTAAGGGGAAAATCGATGAGCAGACTGAGTTAATTATGAGAAAATCAATCAAGAGGTGGAGATTTTGGCTTTAAAAGGGCAGTCAGCGCTAAGGAAATGGGACAGAATAAAGAAGCCTGTTCACACATTTCTGGGCTCCGTCTTTTCGCTCTTCTCGTCTTATTGAAGGTGCGCGACCGCTTGGTCACTTTCTCCGTGCATGACGCTAAACTAGCCTACATGTTTGCAATTCTGTCAGCCGACCATACAACACATTTACAATGCTGTATTGGGGCTATTTCATTCCAGCAGATCTTTTAAGATATAACCTGCACGTGTTGGTGATGGCGAGAAGCGCGCGGATATCTCGTTATACCTTTTCCCTCGGTAAACAAACTGGGTCCGACGAACAAACAAACGTGTTTCGATGTGACTTTATTCACAGTAAACAGTTCTCTTTCTTTCTTGTTCTTTATTTTTTGTAGGTATGGGTTTGTAGAGATGGACAGAAAGGTGGAGACGTTCTCTTATAAGTTTACATAGTGGAGATGGGCCATCAAATATTTGAAGAGCATGACTCTCTGTATATATGTGCTCTCACGTTTCATGGCTGATACACAGGCACGTGTACCTTTTATTGGCTTCAGATTAACTAAGAAACGCCACACAGCAACCTCTTCACGGGTGCCGTATCTGAAGACAGGCCACGATGTCATTAAATCTTCAGGACTCATTATTGATGCCATATTTGGGAGTTTTAACATGATGCAGAAATTTTGAGAACCACTAGGATCTGGTAATCTTTAGTTTTGAAATAGTATTAAATGCATTAGTAGGAAATTTATAGAATTTTCTCATGCAAAATTCTAATGAGGCTTTGAAGACGCATATCTCTTTCGGCTATTAAACTAGTGCATAAATCAACACTACATTCTGATTTTAATAAAAACATTAACTGAAAACAGAATTCACGTGTCATTTAAAATATATCCTCATTTTTGCATGAAGGTATAACTAAAGAGATATTACGTTTATATCAACTGAAACATTTCA